TGGCCATTCTGTATTTCTCCCCCATAAATCTCTTGTGTAAGGTTGGTTACATGGTGTGACTTTGTGGTATTCTTTGGCTCTGTCTTCTAACTTTCTACAATCTAACAAAACAGCGCTACCACCCTGGAGTCATGTTTCCAAATAAACCAAGCCTATGGGGTAACATTTTATAACCTATCCAAACAGCTGTGTAACGTGACATTAGGAAGGGACATTTGCCTTTTTCTTGTGAATGCATTATAATGGTCTATTCATTCTAAACAGAGCAGAAGAAAATGAGAGAAATGATTCCAACCTTGTCTACCTGTATGAACCTATGTATTTTGAATCGTATATAAGAAGCAAGAATGAGGGGGTACTTACAGGAACCTGGATGATTCAAAACTAGCCACATCACCTAAAAACACCTCACTCCCAGCCTGAGTAATGACCTCACGAAAGCTGCGTCTTTGGTGATGTACCCTTAGTCAGCCTATCACTGATGTTCTGGATAGCAGAAGAGAGGATATTGGCTCGACTCTATGAAGGTCTCATGACCCAACTACTCCTACAGTGGAAGAATAACAGCTGTCTCACCACCTGCATAGACAGAAGAATGCTGTAGAATTTGCCTCACGGCATTTCCATATCCATAACCTCCAAAGCAATTTCTAGTACATGATGGCCAATGCTGTGAGTGTGTGGGGCCATCTAGTGCTCTCTGCTTTGTAATTGCCTGTGGTCATGTTAAACTCAGAGGAAACAGCTCTACCCTACAACCTCCTCTTCCTCAGTCTTTGACATTCCTTCTGTACATTTTCCTGGGATATTTTCTGTATCATTGTTGTTGATGATGGTGGTGGTGGTATGTTTTTATTGGTGTATCCCAGAGCACTGGGACACCCTGTCACTGTAGAGTGCAATTATTCTCAACATTCAAGGATGAATGCGTGTTTACAATTCTGTTTTTCACTTCAAAAAAAGGTAGCCCTGAATATTATGGTAACATCTGGGCAAAATCACAAATGTTTATAATTTGATTTTCAAGATACACTGTATCCATTTATCAAAATAAAAGTGGTTTACTTACTTGACTATTCTTTCTCAGCCATAAGGTTTTGCTTAGTTTAGAGTACCCAGTGGCTATCTCCTGTAGATCTACCTTAATTTCAATTAAAATGCTAATTATACCCATAACAACCATGCCACTGTTGCCCTGTGAGAACATCTTGTTTGCATATTGATTCCATAACACTCTGGATCCATAACAAATCTGCACTTTTGTTGATAGTTATTCCCTAAAAGCTTGTATTAATGAATTTTTGCAGTGTCTTTGGAAATCCTCAGGAAAGAGACTCACAGTTTAGTTTTAGCCCAATTCTTCCCTGTCCTGTGACCACAGCATGTGTGGTCTTCAGCAACAAGCACTTACTGTCTCTATTTCTAGTGTACAACCAACAGTAGTGACAATAGCCTGCATATATTGGGGCTGAGGATAACATTAGATAACTCAGTAGCCTACAACTTACAGAACAGTCCCTCATCCATGACACTTGGGTTTTCATCTGCATCCTGTCTTTGGAGTACATCTCCCCAGTTTCACTGGGTGTTTGAGTTTTATCACAGTGATTTCCTGGAATCTTTACATCTTCAAGGGCATAGTTGTTTGCCAACCTGATTTTTGGTTTTGTTCATTTGGGGAGAGATCACAGTATACCCTTCATCTGGTTCTATCTCCAGTTTCTAAACCCACGTGGAGCCTTTTAGATTTCCCTTCTTATATACAATTTAAGTAAACACAGAAGGAAGACATGGCCTCTCCTGGCTTCATATTCAAAGGATTGTATGAAGCATCATCAGTTGGCTCACTTACTGTTAGTGTGAAACAACTCAATGACCTGGAGGAGTGGTTGAATCTAAGATGATGCAAATTCTGAACCTTATTAAGGGGGTGTTATTGTTTGAATGTGAATTTACCCGCTAAAGTCTCATCTGTTATGTGGTCTTTAGATAGTAAGTCCAAACATTGAGGGGCTACGTGATCAAGAAGACTCAATAGGTTAATATAGTAATGGGTTAATAGTTTGAAGATGGGTTTGGGAGGTGGTGTACATTCCAAGAGATAGAATCTAATTGGAGGCAGTAGGATGCTGGGGGCATTTTCTAGTGAGTCTATCTTATCTCAGGCCTCTGTCTACCTGTGATAGTTTCTCCCCATCTCTCTCTCTCTCTCTCTCTCTCTCTCTCTCTCTCTCTCTCTCTCTCTCCCTCCCTCCCTCTCCCTGTGTGTGTGTGTCTGTCTGTCTGTCTGTCTGTCTGTCTGTCTTCCTCTTTCTCCTTCCTTCCCTCCCCCAACTCTGGCTTTCTTTTTTACCTTTGGTTCTGAGATGGGGTTCTTCTGTGTAATAGCCCTGGTTGTCATGGAACTCTCTTTGTAGACCAGCTTGAACTCAAACTCACAGAGATCCTCCTATCTCTGCCTCCTTAGTCCTGGGATTAAAGGCATGTGCTACCACCAATTGGCTGAATTAAAATTCTTTTATGGAACATATTTTGGTCATTTTTTTCCTTCCTTGCAAGTCCTCTTTGATCCTCTGAATCTCTCTACACATTCAATTCCATGTTCTTTTTTTTCTATTGCAAAAAAAGTAAGTAAAAAAAAACAATGAAACACAATATATAAGAACAAAATAAAAATCCCCATGGAATCTGTTTTGTGTTGGCCACTATTTCTGGGCATGGCACTTGCTATAGAATGTGGTTAATGTACCCTGTTGTGTGTGTATAACACTGATTGTCCCTTTGTCAACAGGTATCAATTGGCAATAGTTTTTTTAGTTAGGACTGGGACCTTGTGTCAACCCCCTTCCTGGGGCTGCAACCCTATCTTGACTGAATCCTTGCAGGCCATGTGTGTGATGCCATGGTCTCTGAGTTCATATGAGCATCAGCCCTGTTGTGTCTGTAAGACACTGTTACCTGGAGTCATCTATCACCTTTGGCTCTTTCTATCTTCTCCTCCTCTTCTCCAAAGATCCTGGATCCTTGAGGGCAGGGATTTGATGAAGACATCCCATTCACTACTGCGTACTCCAAAGTCTTACTCTCTGCTCATTGTCCAGCTGTAGGTCTATGAATTAATTGCCAACTACTGTAAGCGGAAGTTTCTCTGATAATGTTTGATAGCAGAAATGTGGGTCAACTTCCCGCTATTCACAATCTTGTCATCACCAAAAAGCATGACGTGTCCAGAATGTCAACACTGAAAGGTTGAAAATCCTTGGTCATTACAAATTTTACTTCAAAATGTTCAGAGAAAAGATAATACTATCTGCAGATACCATCCAGACATCCATATCCCAACTGGCTCCCACAGGTTGTCCTCTGAGTTTGATGCATATGCTGTGGCTGGCTCACAGGCACACATACAGGTGTGCCCCCCCACAATAAATAAACAATTGTATACCTATGATTATAAAGGCACTATTTACATGTCAAAAGGTAGAAAGGACATAAGTGGTATACAGAAAGTGCTAGATCCACGCAGCAGGTACATAGTCAGCTTCACAAAAGAATGAATTGCTAACACATGATACACAATGAAAAACGTTGAAAGTACTGTACTCAATTAAGAAAAAGCCACAACTCTTCTGTTTCCACTTATGTGAAATGGTCCAAATAGGCGATTCCAAGGAGGAGACAAACCTGGAGTTTTCCACTGGCTTTGGGGATAGACTGAACTCTGGCTTCTGTGGAAACAAACTTTCCTTTGGGGATTCTGAAAATCATGGTGTTCTTTTTATTTCTATTTATGTGTATGTGTTTTAATGTGTGCATGTCTGTCCCCACTGGGACCAGAATGAGGGCATCTGATACCCTGAACTGTTACAGGCATTAGGAAGCTGCTCATCATGGGAGCTGGGAACTGAATTCAGGTCCTCTGCAAGGGCAACGTCCACCCTTAGCCATGGAGTGGTCTCATGAGCCATAATGAAAATGATTTGATCTAGGTAGAAATATTAGTTGAACATTAGAAAGATGTCAACTCCCCTTGACTTATATACTGAGATCTATTATATAAAGCATATAATATCTCAAAAGTGAAATTATGTTATCCAGAGTAATGTCATTTTTAAGGTTTGCATTGGTTCACATGTCACATATATATAACACTGTGAGTGGCCAGCAAGGTGAACACCACAAGTGTGTTATCCATGACCCACACTAAATAACAGGTAAATACATCCCCTAATTTTAAAAAGATATTTTAAAAGGTTCCCACAAAATGTTTTCGTGACTGAATTTTTCATAGCCCTCAACCTTATTTTGTGGCCTTTTAATTGCTCAAGAAAAAGAAACAAGTATGTTCTTTGAATTAAAATGATATAACTTTGAAAATCCCTCTTGCCTGAACAAGAGATTAAGATGAGGAGGGAGGAAAGAGAAGTGTACTGGAGACCGCTCATCCACACCGGCAGCTGCAGGGCTGTTCTCCTATTAACTCTAACAGTTAGCATGCCACATCTGCAGACTGTCGAGAATTAAGTCTCTTCTCAAGCCACAGAGAAGCTCAGGTTATTAACTCACCCCTGGAAAGCAGGGAGGGGAAGTGGGGACACAGATTCCCTGAGGTGGCCTCATCCCCAGCAGTGCTCTAGGGGCCCTGGGCTCCCTGTAACAGAAGCAGAGGCAGCTGGACCACAGCCAACCAGAACAGGCAGTGGGCAGGTAGCTCAGGAAGGATAAAAAATGGTGACCAGGCTCCTCCAAGCCTCCAGCCATGCTGGCCCTAGTCAGACTATTACAGTGTTCACATGGACAGACATTTTCAATCAGGGATTTTTATTAGAGGGATCAGTTGCAGAGCCGTGACTCTCAGGTTAGTGGCCTTTCCCTCTCATCCACCTCACCAGGAAAGACCTGCGAAGCCAGCTTTAGCCAGGGACTCAGAGAAGTCACTTTCTTCTGCAACTCTTCAAGAAATTCAAGTATATGGGGCATGGGTCATCAAGACCGTGTGATGATTGCACAGTAGATTGTATCTTCCCGGGATCTCCTACTTCATGAGGTAGGTTATTTGGACAGGCGGGAAAGCTGAATTGCAGAAAGATCAAGGCAGACTGTCTTACCCAGGTTATCTTTCTGTGTTAACATGTGTTGGCCTGTGCAGCCAGAGTCCAGGATGGGGGCAGGCAGGCATATGGAAGACAGAATACACTGAGGACTGAGAGGCCAATTCCTAGGCATGTAAGGAATAAGGAATTCAGGAGGAAAGCAGAAGTAATAGATGCAAAGAAGGGCAAGGGAGCTGAGAGATGTCAGTGAAGAGGAAACAGGAGGGTCAAAATGGGATCTTAGAGAGAAGCTGGATAAGCCGTTGGTTCTCAAACACGGTCTGTTTTTCAGGAAATATTTTACAATTTGTGAAAATCAATGTGTCAGAATTCAGGGCACAGGTCTCTCCATAAAGACATGGTCTAGGCATAACATCTCCTCATAATTTCTACGAGTTCAACCTTGTTGTGAAAATCAATGTGTCAGAATTCAGGGCACAGGTCTCTCCATAAAGACATGGTCTAGGCATAACATCTCCTCATAATTTCTACGAGTTCAACCTTGTTATTATATTCCACATCATCAGAATCATGTAGAATTTGCCTGTTTGTGCCTTGTGTGAGTGGTGGCCAGAAGCTTGTTCTTTGAGGAGAGTGAATACAGAATTACTGATCACAGGCAGCAAATTCATTAGGATGGGGAACTGTAGTCAGTAAACATATATCACATATGGCAATGTTAAAATTGTGTCTGGCACAACACAGAAACTGCTGAGCACTGAGGTGAATTTATTTGGCCACCAGTTTGACTTAATCATGACACATCTATATATAGGTATTCACCAAATTAGTCATTGTTTTGCATAAATGTACATATCCATGATTAGCCATTCAAATATAATATCAATTTAAAAATAAATGATACTTTCCTATATGTCCCTAATGCTGAATTTAAGAAACACTAAAGATGTGTATGGGTAGGATTTATCCATGCCAGGCTTAGTCTGCATGTATCTGGATATCAAAGTGGCACCAACCATGGTTACCTGTGAGACTCAGTGTGTCCTGTTCTTTGCCTATGCCTGCTCTCGGCCTTTCCCTGTGTGTGTGTGTGTGTGTGTGTGTGTGTGTGTGTGTGTGTGTGTGTGTTTGTATGTATGCTCCTGAATTTCAAGTTTATATTAGGTTTCATTCTTAGTGTTGTTCAGGCCTAGGTTTGGACAATTGTACAAAGCCATGTGTTCCTCCTGAAAGTCCACAGCATTCTTACTACCTTTAGAAATCCTCTTTACTTTATCTTTTCCTCCTTCCTTTTTCCTTGCCATTCCTTGGAAGCCACGGGTCTTTTATTCTCCTTCCAATTTTGAATAACCACTCAAGTTCCTATTATGCCAATGGGTGGCATATGCAATCTCAGTCTCCTCTTCCCGGGGGTGATCAGCTCTAATTGCAGAGTTCTCCCTTTCTGTGTATTGCTTGGGTCATTGGTAATATAAGGATAGAAGTGGGCATGGTTATTTACAGAGGAAAGACATCTCTGAGTGAAAGCAGCCTCTGGTTTTCTTTTTAACATTCATGAGTAAGCGATGAGCAGAATAACAGGAGGACAAGAAGACAAGCCCTGTGAACACTAGGTCCTAAGTTCAAATCCTGGCTCCTCTGCTCCACACTTGTCCTTCCCTGGGAGAGAGATGAGTTCTCTGTGGAAATCTCTCTTCTCCTATAGATAACTGGGAGCACAGCAGTTCCTTCCCACAGCCAGGGAATGATTCAAGAACCACACGAGGGTGCTCAGCCTAGTGAGAGATACACAAGGGTGCACAAGACAGACAGAGAAGACAGATGTGCTTATGGGAATCCATTGTGTTTAATACATTATAGTTACAGTAGTAATTAGAGTTACAACAGTCATTGATAGAAGAACTCACAATCCAGATCTATAAGCAGATTTGAGCCCAGCATGATGCAGATAGTTGGATCCATGACCAAGTAGTAAGCTGGGTTTATTATAGTCACTTAGGAAAGAGTGACTCGATCTGTTTTGGGAAAAAAATACACACAAAAACTCTAAGGAGGACATGATGTTGAATCTGTGTCTTAAACGGAAACATATATTTGCCAAATGGACAAGCGGAACTTGGGCAACTAACTCATGCAGACTGCAGAGAGGGTACCAATAAGGCAACTGTATTCTTTAGGTCAGCGATTTTTAACAAGGAGAAATGTTTCTTTAAGGAGTCATTCATGCTTTCTGAAATGTTTTCCTTGTCACATTTGGTCAGCTGCTCCTGCTGTCTACACAGTAGAGACCAGGGATGTTATTAAGCACCACAAAAGGCACAGGAGGGTTCATCACAGAATGAATTATTAGGTTCCAATTTCAATAGTCCTGTGTTAAGAAACCCTGCTTTGTGCACAGAGGAACTGTATGAGTCCAGAGTCCATGTATCCTGGTGGCATCCATTCAGTGTTATCCTACAGGATGTTATTTCCAGAAACCATTCACCTCCATGATCTCAGAGTGTTGGGGTTGTATAGGGCTGTTGGGAGCACCATTTCTAAACTGATTGGAAGGTGCTATCCATAAAAAGCAGGAAATGATCCATGCACTAAAATGGATAGTTTTTCTTTGATTTCTCATGATAAACCTTTAAACAATCAGAGCCCTTAGCTGATCAAAGAGGGCATTCACTAGTGCCTGGAGAGTCAGCTCAGAAGTCAACTGTTTGCTATAATTCCAGAGCACCGTCGTTTGGTTTCCAAACCCCACATGAGTGGCTCAGAAGCTCTAGGGGATCTAACATTCTCTTCTGGCCTTCTCAGGCAGCTGGATGCATTTTACACACACATGTGCACACACACACACACACACACACACACCTTGCTTAAACAAACGTGCACAAACACAGTAAATAGCAACAGCAACAACAACAATTATAATAGAAAAATGTAGTCACTTGTACAAAAGTTGTCAAACACAGAAGGATAAATATATCTCAGGATTCCATATACATCAAGTATGTACAACAGGCAAAAACAAAGGACCAGGAAACAGAAAAATGATCTGATCTTTCAAACTTTGCATTGTCTGTTACCAAACATGTTATAGTTAAGTGATTCATATTAAAATGTGGAGACCTCATTAAATCATATAACTTTCTGGACAAAAATAGCATTTCCCCTCTTAAATATGCTACATTGCACCTTCTTTTAAAAAATATTTATTTATTTATTTATTTATTTATTTATTTATTTATTATGTATACAATATTCTGTCTGTGTCTATGCTCGAAGGCCAGAAGAGGGCACCAGACCCCATTACAGATGGTTGTGAGCTATCATATGGTTGCTGGGAATTGAATGCAGGACCTTTGGAAGACAAGGCAATGCTCTTAACCTCTGAGCCATCTCTCCAGCCCTGGGTGGGCACCTTTTAATAAAAATTTAAGAAACACTTATTATTTATTTTTTCTTGTTTTGGATTTTCAAGACAGGCTTTCTTTTTGTAGCTTTGGACTTTGTCCTGGAACTCAATATGTATACTAGACTAGCCTCAAACTCACAGAAACCCCCCTGCCTCTGCCGCCCAATTGCTGAGATTAAAGGCCTGTGCCATTATGGATTTAAAACTTACTATTTCTTACAACAACTTTTGCGATATTGAGAGAAATACAGAGAAAAACAGTGTGAATAAATTTACTGAAGTTCACAGTAGGCAGAGTAGGGATTGAAACAGGTTCTGCTACTGTACGTTGTTACACATTTGAGCTGATTACCTCAGAGCTTGCAATCCAAAAGGAATCAGTAGACTGATGTACATTAAGTTGGACTTGAACCTTGCCAGGGCTTATAGTCATGAGTTGGCATCTACTGGGGCCCCTGAAACTGGGAATTAACCAGGATTTCTCACAGGAAAGTATAAGGTCAGGACAGCAATGGTTGGAAGCTCCAGTAAAGTAACAGTTTCACAGGGGATGCAAAGCAAAGGAACACCTGGGATATACAGTCTAAGAGGTCAGTACAAGTGTTGGATTGATCTTAGATCTACCTTTTTAGCAGATTCACTTTGACAATTTGCCCAATATTTCTACATTACAATAATCTCAACGAGTATGCGAAAGACACTCAAAATGGAGGAGAAAATAATATCACCTCTATTGATATGATGACTGAATTAAATTTTAGGCTGTAATAGTAGGAGCAAGATTAATACTTCTGCACTCTTCTCACAAGATCAACCTCTTTGGTGTGTCCAGGTAAGGTGAAAACTGATCATTTTTCTCCATCTAGTAGATGACCTCTGCCTACCTCACCTCAGGCATGGCCTCCATGCAGGGAGTCAATCACTCAGGAGTGTCAGAGTTCATCCTCATTGGCTTCTCTACCTTCCCTCACCTTCAGCTGATGTTCTTCCTGCTCTTCCTCTTCATGTACCTCTTCACGCTGCTGGGCAACCTGCTCATCATGGCCACCATCTGGAGTGAACACAGCCTCCACACGCCCATGTACCTCTTCCTGTGTGCGCTCTCCATCTCTGAGATTTTCTACACCTTTGCCATCATCCCACGCATGCTGGCCGACCTGCTCTCCACGCTTCACTCCATTGCCTTCCTGGCCTGTGCCAGCCAGATGTTCTTCTCCTTCACATTCGGCTTCACCCACTCTTTCCTCCTCACAGTCATGGGCTATGACCGTTATGTGGCAATCTGTCACCCACTGCGCTACAATGTGCTCATGAGTCCTGGTGGCTGTGCATGCTTGGTTGCCTGGTCCTGGGTTGGTGGTTCATTAATGGGGACACTGGTGACAACAGCTATTTTCAATCTCACTTTTTGTGGACCCAATGAGATCCACCATTTTGCTTGTCATGTTCCCCCTCTATTGAAGTTGGCATGTGGAGAGAATGTACTGGTAGTAGCCAGAGGTGTAGGGATGGTGTGCATCATAGCCCTTCTGGGATGCTTGATCCTCATCCTCCTCTCCTATGCCTTCATTGTGGCAGCCATCTTGAAGATACCATCAGCCGAGGGTCGGCAAAAGGCCTTCTCCACCTGTGCATCCCACCTCACGGTGGTCATTGTGCACTATGGCTTTGCCTCTGTCATCTACCTCAAGCACACGGGTCCCAAATCTCTGGAAGGGGACACTCTGATGGGTATCACCTACACAGTTCTCACCCCCTTCCTCAGCCCCATCATCTTCAGTCTCAGGAACAAAGAGCTGAAGAATGCCATGAAGAAAGCTTTCCTAAGCAAACTGTACCCAGAGAAAATTTAATGACCTATAAGAAAATTCTTGTAGATGGGTACACCAAATTTTACTGTTTGTCAAAATTCTCTATCACTATGTGTTTACTTCTGATACTTTCATGTTGGCCAAACCTTTGTAATCATATGTAAGTATGACTTTGTAAGTCATATGTAAATCACATCTGGGATTTATTTGGGGATGGAAGTAACTATGAGAATAAAGAGAAAGTCACAACCTTTCTGACCAGCTACAGTTTGTTTTGAGTATTTCTCTGGTGGACTAATACAAGCCTCACAATATTGAACAAACCAGAATTGCCTTATGTATTTATTGTGAGATATTTACTGCCCTCCATATCCCAAACTCCAGTCATCTACAATCCCCAACAACACACATACGTAATGCAACAAGAAATGGAAGACTTAATGGCATACTTTTTGTCTGGTTGTACTAGAGAGGCATAATCTTTAAGTTTACTAAAGACAAGATTACAGTGGTGGCGCACACCTTGACTCTTAGCCTTCTGGAGACAGAAGCAGGCAATGCTCTGAGTTCAAAGTTAGCCTCATCTACAGAGTGAGAATTTCCATGGTAGGTAAAGATGTTGAACATTTCCTTAAGAATCTTTCGGTCATTTGAGATTCTTCTATTGAGAATTCTCTGTTTAGAGGTATCTTGACTGAGGGAGCCATTATAGGGATAGCAGAAAACTTGCTCTAAAGAAATTCCCAGGAATACACAAGGATGATCCCAGCTAAGACACTAAGCAATAGAGAAGGGGCTTTCCCTGTAATCAGAATGATGAGTATCTTAAATATCACCATAGAACCTTCATCCAGCAACTGATGGAAACAGAGGCAGAGTCCCACACTGGAGCACTGGACTGAGCTCCCAAAGTCAAGTTGAAGAGTGGGAGGAATGAGAATATGAGAAAAGTGGACAAGATTGATGGATTGACCCATGGAAACAGCTTACTTGAGCTAATGGGAGCTCACCAACTCCAGCTGGACTGGGAAGGAACAAGCATAGGACCAAACTAGTTTCTCTCAACATGGTTGAAAGTTGCATGACTGGGGAAGACTGAGAGGCCACTGGCAGTGGCACTGGGATTTGTCTCAACTGTTGTACTGGCTTTTTGGGATCCAGTTCTCTTTGGATGAATACCTTGCTCAGCCTAGATATAGGAGAGAGGGTCTTGGACCTTCCCCAAAGCAATGTGCCTTACCCTCTCTGAGAATTGGATGAGGGTGGGTTGGGAAAGTATGTGGAGGGAATGAGAGGAGGGAAGGGAGTGGATACTTGGATTAGTATTTTTTAAAAAAATCTAATAAATTAAAAGTAAATAAAGTGGAACACAGACAAGCATGACAATAGCTCCATCATGTACTTCATTCGAATCCCTCCCTAGGTGTCCCATTAGATATAGCTGTATACATCATCTACAGAGGGATAAACCCTGAATTCTTAACCTTCGCAACCTGTTTTTGACATCTTTTCTTGAATGTGGAGTAGGCATCTTGAACCTAATGACTAACTCTCAGGTATTTTGTTTTTATTTTTATGTTTTCATAAGTGAGGCATATTAGCACATCTTCATATTTTTGTATTAATGCATTTGTGTGTGTGTGTGTGTGAGAGAGAGAGAGAGAGAGAGAGAGAGAGAGAGAGAGAATGTATAGGTGTGATGTGGATGTTGAGAATCATTCTCAATCATTCTTCCAACCTATTTATTGAGGACAAAAAAACACATTCAAATCTAGAGCTCCCTGATAGGGTTAGTCTCACTGGTCCTCTTGTTGTCATCTTGTTTTGGGGATCCCTTGTCTTAATCTTCTAGTGCTAGTATTAATTTAGGCTACCACTCTGACCAAAATTTTATGTGGATTTCAGAGGTCCAAGCTGCAGTCTTCATCCTTTTATGGATAATTCTTTAAAGCTGCTGAGCTGTGTCCTTAGGCCCTCTCATATTATGATTGTCTCTACCACCCCCTCACATCAGAGAAAACACAAATCCGACTCCATTTTTTGGAACATTATGACTCCTTCCCTTTACCTTACATCCCACCCCCCTGCAAATCAAGATTAGATCTTATTTTAAACTGACATCTGGCTCAGTTTGCTCCTTAGAACAATTCTTTTTGACTCTTCCCTAGTCACACTCCTGTCATGTCCTCTTTCTCTTGGTGTTTACTCTCATCTATGTTCACATTATCATATACAGCTTCTCTGTGTTTGCTAGTTTTATTCTACTTCTAGCCAATGGATTACAGAAAAGTACAGGGGTTTATCTGATCCATTGCTAAATGGTAGCATATGATAGACTCCCAATTATTTGTTGAATAAATTGATTTAGAATGCTAAGAAGTAAAACTAACCAGGTGAAACAAATTTGTCTCTTCAGTTGTTAAGATTGTGCAGTAAATGGGTAGAAATGAACTTTTTCATCCTTTGTATAAGCCTGCCCTATAAGAAGTACCTGCCTTCTAAGACAAAGAACAAAGATCAAAAATACAAGATCAAATGGAGGCAATGTCTGTGAATGTCATTGCATGGTGCTTCGCACACACATTCAATAAAATAACACCTATGATTCAGTCGTACTAGAAGTTTGACTTGAATTTTTCATCAGACTGATATGAGCCGAAGAATTGTCCTCTTGAAGACCAACAACTTTATTGCATATGTCTTGGCCCGTAGTGTGGGAAATTCTACAGGACACTGGACCAAAGCCTGTGGTCTACAAGGAAGAGAAACGGGGAGACATATTAATAGTGCTCCAATTGAAAGTCACAGTCTCTTCTTCCAGAATCCCTTTTGCCAGGAACTGACTACTCTCTGTGGTGCTTCACCCCCAAGAATGGTCCACATTACTCATTGCATGGCAGCACTTCACAGAAGTGACAAGCAACAAGCTTTCAAAGAGAAATGATGACCTGTTGGGACGATTGTGCACTGTTTTTAAATGACAGAAAGAAAATTTTTCCTTGGGTAAATTGTTCTTTATTAGACTTGGTTTTCTAGCACTGAAATAGTTGTAATTACAATGATTAGGAGGGCTGCTAGAATTAAGGAGCACATCTGATGTAGGACAATTGAGAGTTTCCAGCACAAAGAAAGCATGCCTGAAGTAGCCAGCAAGGAGGCTCAGTGGGTAGACATTTGCCACCAAGCCTGATGACTTGAGGTTGATTCCTGGGATCTGCATGGTAGAAGGATGGAACCAACATGCACCAGATGTCAAGACTTCCAAATGTGGTACATGCATGTGTGCAATTGTGCACATCTGTAAAAAATACAATAAATAAATAGAAATTGTTTTTAAAAATAAAACAGTTAAGAAGTATCAGCTTTAAAAATCATTTGTGAACTCCATGTTCCAATATCCATGTTCAATTAAGGGGTACAAGAGAGAGGCCATTGTGTCTGGGATGTTACCTGAGGCTCAGTAGTCACACAGAGAAGTGTGTGTGCATATCTCTAACCAAGACAAGAACTAGGAATCAAAGAGATATAACCAGGTGATAAGCATGTGGTTAATAGATGCATAGGCCAATGGATATTATTATTTGATATTATATTGGTTCATGTGAACATGGAAGCTTTGAAATACCATAAACATAAAAGGGCACATCCAGGCTGAACCCTAAGAAGTCACTGGTATAATTAAGGTGTTCAAGAACCTAATAATACAGATTCCAAATTGGATCTGGTAGTGCTGAGTGCAGAAGAACCATGTCCCACCTCATTCAGGGAGGGAGAGGAAACATGAATATAATGGCTCTTTGAAATTTCCGTCAGGTTCTCAACAGATTAGACTGTACCCATCTACAACACCCTGGGGAGGGTCATCTGTTTTATAATTTGTACTATCTACAATTTGTATCAGTTACTGTTCTCAATGCTATAATGAAATAACTGACCAAAAAAGAAAAGAATTAAAGAAGGTTTATTCTGGCTTATATCTTAAAGGAATACACTCCATCCTGGTGAGGGAGCTTCTGTTGGGGAAGGCATGCTGACTGGATTCTGGGCAGCCACATTGTATTTGAAATCAGAAAGTGGAGCGAACAGGAAGTGGAGCTAGACTATAAACCTCCAGGCCTACTGCCAAGTGACCCATTTCCTCCAACAAGATTCTACCTACTAAAAATTCTACAACTTTACAAAATAGCACCACTAGATGCTGATCATGTGTTTAAATATATGTGCCTATGGGAAGCCATTTTACATTCAAACCACAATACAATCAAATGCTAATGTGTTCGAGAAACACTATCCCGGCATATCTAAAAACACTGCTTAAAAATCAGGCATATGAACAGTTCATGACCTAGACAGGTTTGTTGCGTGAATTCTAATTGGTATTAATAATAAAAACCCAGAGTCAGATATTAGCGTATATGCTGAAAGATCAGAGAAGTAAAGGAGCCAGCCACTAGACATACCTTTTACCTCTATGAAATTCTCAGACCAAAGTAGGCAAGATCCTGTCTATGAATCCCCAGAATAAATGCTGTCTCTATGAAACCTCAGACTAACTCGAGCTTCTGTCTCCTCTTGCCTTTTATTCCTCTCTTTGCCCAGCCATATCACTTCCTGTATCCACCTTCCTAGTGCTGGGATTAAAGGCATGTCATTCCCAAGTAGTGGAATTAAAAGTGTGTGCCACTACTACCTGGCCTTTATGGCTAACTAGTGGCTTAGCTCCATGCTCTGATCTTCAGGCAAGCTTTATTTGTTAGATCACAAACAAAATGTCACCACATCTGTTGGCACTTAAAATTAATTACCATGTGAATGCAGTTCTAGGTTACAAATAAAAGCAAGAGTGCTATGGTTTGGGATTGGGATTCATTCATCCCCATATCCCAGTTTTTCATCCCACTGTGGTTCTTCCTCTCCTAGAAGGCATTTGGAAATTCCGGTAGTTATGTTGATGGTTACGCTGCCAGGCAACGGGTCTGTGAAGCAGCAACTGATAGAACAAAGACAGGAATGTTGCTTAAGGTTATCTTACAATATACAGA